ACCTCATTCTGGACTATTATAACAGGTTCAGTCTGAGGGTTGCAGCAGGATCCATAACATCGGACTGGCACAAGCTGGAGAAGGGAATCATCACCGGATGTACCATTACAGTGATCCTCTTCGCACTTGCTATGAACATGTTGGCGAAGTCCACCGAGGTTCAGTGCAGATGGCCCCTAACCAAGTCTGGTGTCAGGCAGCCGCCCATCAGGGCCTTCATGGACGACCTGACCGTGACAACATCAAATGTCCCAGGGAGCAGGTGGTTCTTGAAGGGGCTGGAAGAACTGAACACCTGGGCCGGCATGAACTTTAAGCCTGCAAAATCGAGATCCCTTGTGCTAAAGAGAGGAAAAGTCACCAACAAGTTCATCTTTACACTTGGCGGCACCCAGATACCATCTATCACCGACAAGCCGGTGAAGAGTCTGGGAAAGGTTTTGAACTGCAGCCTGAGAGACACAGCGGCCATCAACGCGACCAATCAAGATCTGGAGGCTTGGCTAGCCACGGTGGACAAATCAGGACCTACCTGGCAAGTTCAAGGCCTGGGTGTACCAACATGGCATCCTTTCAAGGATTTTCTGGCCCCTCCTTGTGTATGAGGTCCCGATCTCCACAGTTGAAGGCTTTGAAAGGAGAGTCAGCAGGTTCCTGCGGAAGTGGCTGGGTCTACCGCGGAGCCTGAGCAGCATCACCCTATACGGAAAGAACAACATGCTGAAGCTCCCCTTCAGCAGCCTTAATGAGGAATTCAAGGTGAGCCGAACTAGGGAGGTGCTGCAATACAGAGAGTCATGTGACCCAAAAGTCTCTCAGGCTGGTATCGAGGTCCGGACGGGGCGGAAGTGGAGGGCGGCAGAGGCTGTGGAAGTGGCGGAGTCACGACTGCGGCACAGGACGCTGGTGGGGACAATGGCTCGGGGAAGAGCAGGCCTTGGTAGCAGCACAACACCATGCTGCGGGAAGGCAAAGAAGAAGAGGAGGAGAACGCTGCTCCAAGAAGAAGTGCGGGCAGCAGTGGAAAAAGAGCGGGTAGGCAGGGTGCTTGGAATGCGGCAGCAGGGAGCCTGGATGCGATGGGAGCAAGCAGCAGAGCGCAAAGTCATGTGGACTGAACTGTGGAAAGCTGAGCCCCAGCGCATAAAATTCCTGGTCCAGGCTGTATACGATGTATTGCCAAGCCCGTCTTACCTGTTCTGTTGGGGGAAGGTGGAGTCACCAGCGTGTGCCCTGTGCCAGAAGAGAGGGACCCTGGAGCACATCTTTAGCTGCTGTCCGAGGAGCCTGAGTGAGGGGCGCTACTGCTGTAGTCATGACCAGGTCTTGAAGGCCATAGTGAACACCATCTGCAGTGGAATAGCCCACTGCAAGCGCCTCCGACGAGCAAAGAAGACTATCTCCTTGATCAGAGCTGGAGAAGGATCTGCTCACAATGGCACAGGACTGGGAGCTGATGGCAGACTTGGGGAAAACAACTGAAGTTCCCAGAAAATGTGGCCAAAACATCACTAAGGCCAGACGTTGTGCTGACCTCAGCAACATCGAAGAAGGTTGTGCTTCTGGAGCTCACGGTCCCTTGGGAAGACCGCATCGAGGAGGCCAACGAGAGAATGAGGGCTAAGTACAGCGATCTGGTGGAGCAGTGTTGGCTCAATGGGTGGCGAGNAACCCACGTGGTCTGAAGATCCACCAGACCAAGATGAGATGTGTGCAGACGGAGCAAGTGTCACAGCGCGCAGGGATCCTCCCTGGTGAGACGCAGGAGGAGCTAGGCCTGGAGCCAAACCATAGTGCCCAGAACCTCCAAGTGGTACAAGCCCCAAACCCACACAGACCACCAGAACATCGTCGGGTTAGATGGCCCCAAGTTAATAGGGAGCATGAGTGGCGCCAGTTTGATGAGGACACCGACTCCATCTTAGAAGCAACAGCCAAGGGGGAAGTCGATTGGTGTCTCCAGACCATGACCACCATCATCATTAGCATAGCAGCTGAGAGATTTGGCCTGGAGGAGAAGAAAGCAGGGAGACTGCCCTACACCATGAGCAACCGAGCACACAAGATCCACCAGCTTAGGGTCTGAGGCGGCAGTTTAAGCAGGTAAGAGAGGAGGAGAGGGGACCTCTCTCAGAGCTGCGCAACATACTTCGAAAGAAGCTCCTGACTTTGAGGAGGGCTGAGTGGCATAGGAGAAGAAGGAAGGAAAGAACCAGGAAGCGCACTGCCTTTCTAGCAAACCCATTTGGGTTTACGAAGCAGCTGCAGAAGCGTAGTGGTCAACTTACCTATTCCAAAGCAGAGGTTGACCATCACCTGGCTGCAACCTATGGAGATGCATCCAGGGAGCAAGACCTGGGAGACTGCCAGTCCCTGATTGACCCACCAGCACCAACGGTGGACTTCGAGGGGAGGGAGCCCAGCTGGAAGGAGATCATGGAGGTAGTCAAAAAGGCAAGATCAAGCTCAGCTCCAGGACCTAGTGGGGTACCTTACAAGGTGTACAAGAACTGCCCAAAGTTACTCCACAGGCTCTGGAGGATTTTGAAGGTAATCTGGAGAAGGGGAAAGGTTGCCGAGCAGTGGCGATTTGCAGAAGGCGTATGGATTCCGAAGGAGGAAGGATCTACAAACATCGATCAGTTTAGAACCATCTTCCTGCTCAGTGTTGAAGGGAAATTATTCTTCAGCATTGTGGCAAGGCATCTAACTGACAACCTCCTCAGGAACTCCTACATCGACACCTCGGTCCAGAAGGGAGGGATCCCAAAGATACCAGGGTGTCTGGAGCACAATGGCGTGGTCACTCAGCTGATCAGGGAAGCCAGAGAGAGCAAGGGAGATTTAGTCGTGCTGTGGCTGGACCTTGCGAACGCATACGGATCCATACCTCATAAGCTTGTTGAACGGACACTGTGCCGCCACCATGTCCCAGCCAAGTTCAGAGACCTCATTCTGGACTATTATAACAGGTTCAGTCTGAGGGTTGCAGCAGGATCCATAACATCGGACTGGCACAAGCTGGAGAAGGGAATCATCACCGGATGTACCATTACAGTGATCCTCTTCGCACTTGCTATGAACATGTTGGCGAAGTCCACCGAGGTTCAGTGCAGATGGCCCCTAACCAAGTCTGGTGTCAGGCAGCCGCCCATCAGGGCCTTCATGGACGACCTGACCGTGACAACATCAAATGTCCCAGGGAGCAGGTGGTTCTTGAAGGGGCTGGAAGAACTGAACACCTGGGCCGGCATGAACTTTAAGCCTGCAAAATCGAGATCCCTTGTGCTAAAGAGAGGAAAAGTCACCAACAAGTTCATCTTTACACTTGGCGGCACCCAGATACCATCTATCACCGACAAGCCGGTGAAGAGTCTGGGAAAGGTTTTGAACTGCAGCCTGAGAGACACAGCGGCCATCAACGCGACCAATCAAGATCTGGAGGCTTGGCTAGCCACGGTGGACAAATCAGGACCTACCTGGCAAGTTCAAGGCCTGGGTGTACCAACATGGCATCCTTTCAAGGATTTTCTGGCCCCTCCTTGTGTATGAGGTCCCGATCTCCACAGTTGAAGGCTTTGAAAGGAGAGTCAGCAGGTTCCTGCGGAAGTGGCTGGGTCTACCGCGGAGCCTGAGCAGCATCACCCTATACGGAAAGAACAACATGCTGAAGCTCCCCTTCAGCAGCCTTAATGAGGAATTCAAGGTGAGCCGAACTAGGGAGGTGCTGCAATACAGAGAGTCATGTGACCCAAAAGTCTCTCAGGCTGGTATCGAGGTCCGGACGGGGCGGAAGTGGAGGGCGGCAGAGGCTGTGGAAGTGGCGGAGTCACGANAAATCAGACCTTCCAAAACCTTGCTCTGTCTTTAATGGCCCTTCATCTCATTATATCTTTAATAAATTGAGCTAAATTGATTGGTATTAATTCTTTATTAATTTTGATTGATTAGGAATCAAGCCTGATTCCTTACCCAGACTGTTGTTTGCTTATTATGCTAGAATAAACTTACATGATATTAAAGCTCCATGATTTTCATCTGCTCTTACCCACACAATACGTTTCTTCAATCCATAACAAATAGAACATTTACTGAAAAATGTATTAGTTTTCACATATATAATCTGTGCAAAATTTCAGAAGAGCTCTCAGTTTTTTGTTTTTGTTAATTCTTCACACAGAAATCATATTTTGAATTCAAATTTGAGTTAAAGACCAGCACCTCCAACAATTGTGACTGATCCAAAACTATTTTAAGGATGTGTTTGCCCCACTATCCACTGCTGTTAAAATGTAAGCAACAAAAAGAAGCAAAAAAAAGAAATTCAAAAGCCCCATGCAAAACCAGATTTTTAGGAATCTTATTCTACAGTTTTATTCCCTGGTTTCTAACCTTAACATTTGGCAATACATTTAAAACAAAATTGATCATCTAAAAACCCTGATTCCCAATATACAGGAATACAAAGACCTATTTTATTTAAAGTACTGGAAGATGAAGTGAATTTACATGTCATTTAGTCTTCTTCATTTGTGAATATATGCTTTATTAACATGTCATAAGAATGTGAAATTAAAGGTATTTATTTGTGCTTATTCCATGTTTTTACTTAGGCTTACATGATTAAATTAAGTCAACACCTTCTCGACATTAAATAGGTTTATGTTTTTTACATCAGAGATCCAACCAGATCATCTGAATAATTAAGTTTCTCTGTAAATTTTGTGCAGGAAAAGTTAAGAGAGGAGCGTGAGGCAAAACGTGACCAGCTGGATGGAAGACATGACTACATCCTCGGCATTGTGGCCTTATGCCTGGGTCTGGAGGAATCAGAAGTCCAAGATGCCATTCTGGAAGGAAATCAGGTAATTCCATTAAACTATAACTGAAAAGTTATGCTTAGCTTTGCAAAAAACAACAATAGCCTTTAATTTTTCACTGATGTCAAATGTTTGTATTATGGATGTTCTAAGGGTTTTTTCTACTACATTTACTTTTATTATAAACCAAGAAGTCAGTTATCAAAGAAAATGTAGGCCATCATTTTTGTCGGGTAACTTGATTAATATTAAATTTAAAATATTAAGCAATGCTGTTTGGCAAAGTTAACATTACATTTTAATAGAACATAACACATTCAATGTTAGATAATTTTTTAATTACAAATTTGTTAGTTTATTTGCTTACAGCTATTATTCTACATCTTATTATTTTATTTGAATGTGTTGTAACATCTTGCTCAAAGTAAAGTCTCACTAAGAAGATTTTAGTTTTGTTTCTTACTTTATTTTTTATTTTTTTTTGCATTTGAAACAGCTTGATCGTATGGAGCAATTTTTTTTGGAAAACGGTCTCCCACACCTCATGCTGTATTATCAGGAAACTGAATCTACAAAAGGAGGTAACAGAAAAAAAAAAGAATACTCAATGGATCAAAGTAGACAAACTGTCTTTAATGCAATTATTGTTGACACTGGTGAGAACATTGAAAACAGTCCAGCAGAAATATGAAGGCTGATGATGACTAACTCCTTATTTCTGCAGCTGCAGCCGCACTACCCACCCAGCTTGATTCCCACCGGCACAATCACACAAAGAAAGTGTTTGTAACTGATGGAAAGGATGTGGCATTGACCGGCATTTGCATCTTCTTCACCAGAGCAAAACCTTTGAGAGCAATAACCTCTGCGAACATACACAGTGTGAGTCCGTGTTTTTCTAAAAGCATAGACCTTTATTTTATAGCAGCAAATTATGTTTTGAAACTAAAATACAAATTAAGCCTCAACTATGACAGTGACATGTAAAAATTGAACAAAAACAGAAAACAGCTAAAGTTAAAAATATTTTTCCTTAGTAAGTTAGACCTGAAATGAAGCCATCTGGTATGTTAATGCTACGTATTAATGTCCAGTTCTAGAAACAAGTGATTTTATAAAAAACAAAATTAAACAAAAACCTTAATCTTTTTAATTCAGGGTGTATTTCCAAATGGCCGTTGAAAATATCGTGCAAAATATTTTATAAAAGGATGTTAATCTTTGCTTTAAAAAAATAAAAATAAAACCAGCTAAAAATAAGTCTAACCGGAAATTAATCTTGAGGGATAAACAGTTCCCACGAATCCTTGCTATATCTAAAGATAAGCTGGGCTACAGGAGTGTTCATCAATAGCCTTGTGATATCACAGCTTGTTTGGGTCATGGATTGTAACTGCCCACATGCTGCCTGCAGCAAAGCTAATCACTTCTGTTTGAAACAGGTCATGTGTGCTACTGGTCATAGCCAAACAAAGAAAGATACAGCAATGTGGATTTGTTTCATCTATACACAAATTGGACAGAATTTTTGCCTTTAGTTAACCCTCATATCCTCCTTGGGGTCCATTTGACCCCATTCAATGTTTGTCATTCAAAATATACCAGTTAACCTTTTTTTTTTTTTTTTTGCTTCATATTTCTTGACTTTTCCTAATTTGATGGGGACAACTGATAACATAAACATTTTTTATGTGCTTTTATGTACACACACTGCACACAATTTTATCCTCAGGGGTCAGTTTGACTCCAAGCTGTTTTAGCCTGTGGTGTGACCTAACATGTCCAAAGCTGCAAGTCCAGGAGATCCACTTTAGTTGATAAATTTTGTTCTATTCCCATGAGAACCTTGATACTGTATATCTGCACCATGGGCATGAAGGTGTGTATGTGTTATTGTGTGACCTTCTGAACTCACACCTGCCGAAGTAGAACTGAATATTCCTGCTCTGTGGAGGGCGGGAAATTCCTGCAAGGACATTGGTAGTTCATGCAAAATCAGAGAGGAGTAAATATAAAAGCTTGCATAGTAATTCTCTATCTGAATAATTCCTCACTGTGCTCTGAGTGTACTGACATCTTCACGCTCTCTTTGAAAATTTTTGGAAAAATTTACTGTCAAAGAAGTTTTGGTACAGCTACAGTATTTGACAGTGAAAGGGACTCAGAGGAGATTTTATTCTGGGAAAGAGGACTCTGTTCAGGGGGACCCTGATTTTGAGGGATTCTAATCTGATGAGAATCAGAGTGTTGACCCTCCTGTTGTCCCTGAACCACCTTCAGACACAATCTCTTCCAAAAATGGAAAGATAATATGGGCTCTTTCCCCAATGAAACAGTTAAAACATATTTAGCTACTTAATGAGAACCTTTTTTTTAATGGATTCAGCTTCTACTCTTTAAGCTAAAATTTTGAATCAGAAAAGCTTTATTGCCAAGTAATGTTTTACATGTAAGAAAAAATGGCTTTGGTAAAAAGGTGGCTGTTATACAAAAAAGTAGCGTTTTTTGGGATTTTCAAACAACAGACATTAACCTGTCTAAGTTACATGCTAAGTTAAATCTTCTCACCATTTTGGCAGTTTTTGTCACACTATAAAAAAAGTTTTTATCCTTGCAAATCATCACCCCTGTTCTCTTGCTGTGACTGAGACTCAGCAAAGCAACTAGGTTAAAGGGAGCATGCAGTGCAACACACTCACATGCATGCCTAGAAAATTCAACCTGAATCACTCTCTTACAAATTGTCTAATGGGGATCGTAGAAGCAACTGCGGTACATAGAGGAAACCTCATTTTACACTTGAGGCAATCAAAGGGCATGTATATTTACCTTTTAAACATGCACAACGCAGCTTTAAATAACATGAAATGTCCAAAAGTGCTGCACAAATAAAAAATAAAATAATTAAATCGTCTGAAATTATTCAGGGGTCTTTAGGTCCAAACACCAGAATTTCCATTTGGCTCATTAAGATTCAAGACATTTTGAGCCAACCAAGTCTTGATGTCATTGGAGGCATTAACACATTGCAGTAACGATGCCAGGGGTCTATTATCAGTCTTCCTTATTGGCATATAAATTTGGATGGGAGTCTTCATATTTCCAGAAGACTTGACACAGAGAATACAGAGTGCAATCATAAAGGTGCCGTAACAGAATCTTGAGGGACTTCACAATAAAGTGGTGAAGAAGAGAGGGAGATTCTCTCTACATTTCTTTGTAATGTTCTTGGACCATGAACCCCTTCATTTTTTCATCTTTGTTTTTTTAACCCTATTTATCTACATAATTTTTTATTGTTTTCATTTTAAAACAGCAGCACACATGTTGCTGGGATAGACTTTGTGTTTTCCTCTCAGTCTCAGGTAGATTTTGACAAAATCAAAGTATGTTATTTAATAGAAGTATACTATGATGTTTTTGTTTCCATAATAAAAGGACACCTTTCCAAATTTGCAGGAGGTGAGCTTCAATATGTTGGACGCCACAGAAGGTGGGCTTTTAAAAAGCGTGGAGCAGTTGTTCTCAGACGTCTTCATCCCCGCACTAAGGGAAACAAACCATGGTTGGGGTGAATTGGCCAGTCCCCAGGCTCAGGGTGTAAAACAGGAGTTTATATCTTCACTTGAAAGATTTGTCTCTGTTTTGAAGGGTGCACAGGAGAGCCTACAAGAACTGGTAGGTGACAAACACCACTAATCAACAATTAACCTGGTTAACAATCATCTGCTTGTTAACCTATGAACAACTTGGAAAAAACAAAGATAATGTAATATTCAAAGTAAAGCATAAGGACTAAATATGGATAAAAGCTATATGAAAACCTAATAACTGCTTTAAGAAGTTGGAGCGGTCATGTTTCTGCAGATGAAATAAAAAAAAAAATGTCTTTACACAACAAAAAAAAAACATGGACATGAAGCCCAACTGTTCACCACAAAAAAAAATCTGTAAGAAAAAGTGAAAATAATCCTTCTTTGTTTTGCCTTCAGGTTACTTTGAAGCAATGTGACGCGCTTGACCTGGAGTTGTTGAAATCACCTGCGGATTACAAAGCAGCAGCCAACAACAAAGACACTACTGAAAAGATAGAAGCCTGCATGAAAGTTTGGATCAAACAAATAGAACAGGTGAGACAATTGTCTCCACAGTCTCACCAATTATATTTCATGTTAAAATCAACTACAGTCTTAATAGCTTTTCTGTTCTACTAAACTGCTTATGGACACAATTTATGAGCATCTTTTTCTGCTTAAATTGTCTGACAAAGCAGAATACATCAATGGTATAATAAGGATTTAAATTGATACATGTGTAAAGATAAAACTAGAAGAACAAATAAATGAATTATCGGTTCTTCTTCTTGTTTATAATAAGAGCTAGCCAGGTTGGTTAATGTATTTCTTTTTTAAATACTGGCTCCTTAACTAATAGTGACTCTTCCTCCCTCTAAAACTGTGAACAAGGTGGAGGAAATCTTTGATCATGCATGGATTAAATAAAATGTCCAGAGATTTCTAATCAAATTAGAATTTAAAGACTTAGAGAAAAACACTGGTTGGTTTATGTTAAGGACCCAAATAACAGCCAAAAAACTAATTATTTTGTTTTGATTAATCTTATATATCTAAAAAAATTGACATATAGAAAAGGTATCTCATAGAATATCAGCCAGTGGCTGATGTAATCATACAAATATAAAACACTGTAGAGATGATGTGAGCAAAGACAAAGTACATCCAATGTGTTCTTCAGGTTCTTGCTGAAACTAAACTGCTGAGAAAAGTGACTGATGACCTCGGGCCCAGGGACGAACTGAACTACTGGAAGAAAAGGATGTCTAGCATTAACTATCTTTTGGACCAGCTGAAAACTCCACAATTCAGCTCAGTACTAGGTGTCCTTCTGCTGGCAAAATCTAAACTAATCAAGGTCAGAAATTATGCTCATTCATTAATGGAAGATTTACCACATATAAAAGAAAAACTTGTAAACATTATGTTGAATACTATGCATCAATGTAACTAAATCACTAATGTTTTTGTTGTAGCCATGGCAGGAACTAGACAGAAGGCTTACTGATGCTGTTAATAAGGCTAAAGACAACGTTAATTATCTCTATTGCTTAGAGAAGTTTTATGACCCACTCTACAACAGTGATCCTGTAAGTATAGAAAGAACACAAACAGAACCATGTATGTTGCATATAGAACAAGTAAACCAAATGGCTTATCATTGGTCATAATGTACTTACATCACCTTCCAGGTATCAATGGTGGAGGCAATCCCTGGTTTGATGAATGCCATCAAGTCAATGTACAATATTTCTCCCCATTACAACACATCTGAAAACATAATGACTCTGCTTGTCAAGGTACTGTAGCTTTGCTTGTTACATCAAACCTATATTCTTTGAAGCTCATGTGACCACATTGCTTAGCTGTTGTAGTGATTAACTATTGAGATGACTCACACCAGCTCACATGACATAGAAACTGCACACGTATACTAATCATGAAACAGATGGCCAAATTCCATTCTGGGATATTCAATGCTGCAGCATTTTACTTTAAATCAACAGAGTAGAAACATTTTTTTCAGAACGGTTGCATCAAACACAGGAACAAGTTCTGCTGTGAAAAGGTTAATATTAACCTCAGATTGTTTCAATGTGAATTTCCTGTAGAGACTGCATGACTAGACTGTGTGTAATGTCTCTGACACAGGACATTGAAATAAAGCATATTGCAATAGATGAATAAGGCAGAGTGGTATGAACGTCTCACTACTTATAGATATAATAAAAGTATCAAACTGGATGACAATGATTTACAAAACAACCTTTACTTCCAGGTCACCAATCAGATGATCACTTCTTGCAAAGCCTACATCACAAATAATGGTTCAAATTCAATCTGGGACCAACCTCAGCAGGAGGTTATTGATAAAATCAAAGCTACAATTCGACTAAATCAGGTATGGGATACTTATTGAAAAAAATTGTACTACTGTTTCTTATTTGTGGTCTTTGGTATCATATTATTCAGTTCTGTTTTCATATTAACACTTATATATCACAGTACGCTTTTGTTGGGTAATGAACTTTGTTTTGTGTGAAACTGTGTCGCTCAGGAATATCAGCGGTGTTTTCATAAGACCAAGGAGGAGCAGGAACAAACTCCCTCTATGAGAAAGTTTGACATCTGTGAGGTGTACATCTTTGGGAAATTTGATTCATTCCAGCAGCGCTTAAACAAGATCCTGGAGATGTTTAAGACCCTCTCCACCTACTCTGTACTGCAGGACTCTAAGAGTCAAAGGTTTAATACCATATCCACAAGATTTCAAGTAAGTGTACAGAGTTGTTAAACTAGAAGTGTTTGAAGTTCTTTTATCATACAGATTGGATTACATAAAATCTTAATGTTACTTCCTAGCAGAGCTTGTACAATAGTTCTGTGATATTAGATTTCAAATATAGTCATGCCTTATGCCTAAAATCAGAGAGCAAGATACTTGTACTTTATATTTTATATAAATTGTGAATTTTCATATTATAATTTTGTATTATTACTTGAAAATGATTATATACTGATTGTCATACTCCCTTGCTATGAAAATGTTATATGCTTATTAAAATTTAAGGTTTTACTAGGTTCCTTTAACATTATGATTGTTTAATATTGTTTGCTTTCACTGTAAATGCAGCTTCATTTAACTATGAGTGGCAATGTAGCTGGGATGAAAGAATTGACCTATTATGATTCAACAGTCCAAACAACTGTCATTTATCTTGTTTTTCCTTGAGCATACAGTGAAGTATGCCATCATGTTTGTCTTTACTTCCTTTGATGTACAGACTGCAGATATACAGGCAAAATGGGAGGTAATGTCTCATCGTGTTCTTTAGCCCTTAACTTGCATGATCTAATTATACTTTTCTGCATGCAGTGGTCAATAAAATATCTATAAACTGTGTCAGGATATATAACTAATGAAAATACTGACGGCACAAAGTATTCTGATCATTATTATTTTTCCTCCTTTTCTATTTTTTAACTTTTAACTGTGCTCCACTGATATTTACTTTAAGTCGAGAGAGTTGAATTGCTTCTTTTTGTTGATGTTTTCTTCCTACACTGTTTGCAAAGCTTTCATGCTTGTTGCCTCTAATGCTTTCCAAGAACTCTAGGCTGACATAAATTACACAATCCAGTACAATATGATTTGTTGTCTTACCGTAGCTTATATCCTTCATTCATAATATCACACAGATGCTATTTATCTGGAAAAAAACATGCATGTTTCACTTCAGTTTTTTGAAACAAACCAGATAACACCCTCTAATGCATGAAATGCATTGAAGATTGTGATTCTAACATTTAGCAAAATGAGAAAAGGTTTAAGATTTGCAAATAGTTTTGCAAGATTTATTTTTTATTCAGGCTAAATTTTAAGCTGTGGCATTTTCGAGAGGTATCATCTTTACACTGTCACACATTTTGAGATGGTTAGACATTAAAACATTAAGTCATTTTAGTATTAAAAAAGATTCTGTTTAAGCTTTAACTTAAAGCAACAGAACTCATTTAAATACCAAAGAAAATTGTTTATCTGAAAATTTTTTTTTAAGACTTGTTCTTGGTTATATGTTTTTGTCTGACAGGCTACAGTTAAGACTATAAAGGAAAAGAACTACAGTTTCCTCGACTACAGGATGACTGACTTTGATGTTGATTATGAGACATTCTGTGAAAGCACATCCTTTCTTCATGTAAGTAAATTGGGGAAGTGGGGTATTTTAAAAGACCAGAATAAAGCTCTGTATGTTGATTTTATTTGAAGTCCGCTCAAATTTGGGAACATTTTTGTAACCTGTAAGTTTTTGCTGCATGTATTTGTACATACAGAATCAACTGAAGAAGTTCATGGGGGATACATTAGCAGAGATTAAGAACACAAAAAGAGCTTTAAATGAGCTGGAAAAATTCGAAAGGTAGTTTCTTCCATTTACCATTGTTAATCTCTTGTTCTGCCACAGTTGAAACTAGATTCAATGCAACTGCTTGTATATTTTTCACCAACTAAAACAGACTTGGCATCCCTAATCTTGGGATTGATGAAAAGTATCAGCAGATCTTGCAGAATTACGGTCGGGATCTTGAAATGATTTCCAACACCTATGCTAAGCAAAAACTGGACCCTCCCATTGCCCAGGATATGCCTCCAGTGGCAGGTCGGATCATGTGGGCTCGGCATCTGTACAGCAAAATTCAGGATCCCATGGATATCTTCAAAAAGGTTTTCATTTCATTTTTCTTGATTTATATCTCATAAAAACTCACCTTTACACTTTTAAGAAGAATTTTTCTTATAATTCATGCTTCTTTTCCTTGTTAGCATGAAGACATTCTTTCCACAGTAGAGGCTAAAGTGATTATCAGGAAATTTAACAGAGTAGCCAGGATCCTGTTGGAGTATGAAATGCTGCATCATCAAAGCTGGATGACGAAGGTACAGAAAACTCAGCAAAAGATCTAAATAATTGCAAAAAGATGCGAGCAGAGTGATACATTAATAACGCAAATAGTAATTCCTATAATACAATATTTAGATTGTCTGACTTGGTACATGCGTGTGTGTTTATACCTTTGTGTGTATACATGGGGAGGTGTCTGCATGTTAGTGCATGTCTAGGCACAGTCATATTGTATATATCTTCATCCCATTTAGATGGAGAATACCAAGGTGTGCCTAGAGATCCCCCTCTTACTTTGGTCTTCTGGAAAGCTGGCTGTGAACTTCAGACCAGAGATACATGAACAGATCAGAGAGACTGACTTCATGAAGCATATGAATCTGGAGATCCCTCCTTTTGGTGCTTTCTTGCAGAACACGGGGGACATACTGAAGATGAACTGTGATGAATTACAGGTGAGTGTCACAAAAGTGGTAGTAAGAGGGGGGATTTGTAACTTGATATAATTTAATCTTGATTTTCTTTATATGCATTGATAGATGTCCACTGGATATGTCCTTTTAATATTTGTTTTACTGTACTAACAGTATAAAAAAGGATTTTTTGTTTTGTTTTTACAGTTTAGGCTGAGTGAAAACACCAGAGTAAGAGCCAAGATTCAAACTGTATTTGAGAAACTGCTCAGGCCACATGTTGCCAAGGTAAGATAATTTTTTGAAAGTCAGTTTAAATTAAGTGGTTTAAAATAGGGTGATATGGTTAGCATACTGAGTGGTAAGATTTAATAAACAGCATTTAATTCTTCATTCATTGATTAACTAATTAATTCTGTGTTCATTAATGACATTTCTTATATTATGCAAGTTTTTGAAAAGGTATGGTTACATGCATACTGTGTAGTAAATTCTATCTGCTGATTTTTAATGGCATCAAATATCCCACTTTACTTACTGTACATTAAGTTTGCAATTTATTATTATTATTACTACGTAATATTATTATTTAGATCATCGTTATTATTTAATTTTACTTTAGGATTGATAAAGTACTTTGGAACTGAGTTGAATTTAATTTAATTTATTTTTTTTAATAGTTAAATATAACCCTACCTTAATTGATCAGAATCAGTGTCAGAAAAAGCTTTTATATTCAACCAAGGTTTATTTGAATGTTGGATGCATGGGCGTAGGTTTGCATAGGGACCATAGGGACATGTCCCTACCAAAATT